GGGGCATGTATCTGAAGCCATGAGTGTTGTATGCTTGTGTGAATATCTGAAGAATGAGCCTGAAGAATCCAGTCCCCAAAACCAGTGCAGCCATTCAGAATATTGATGGTTAGTGTTCATTCTGTGCGGCCCTCAGCTTCCTCCAGGAACCAGATCACCGATGGGTGTGAGAGGGGAGGAGGTGTGAGGCAGAGCCTCAGTCGACATAAACATCCAGGAAGGTTTCGGATGAAAACGTAGAGAAGGCTCCAAGCAGCAAAGCAGGGAAGATAAGGAAGGGCAGGAGAAAAAGCGTCTTACTCCTCCGAGAGCGGAACAAAAAAAAAAAATCTATCCTTATAAATCCTTTACAGTCAGAAAGCCTGTTCATTTCCCTTTTAAATGGTGCCACATTTGTAAGGAACATGCGTTTGTGGAAATAGCAGTAGAGCTGATTATGTGGGTTGTTTGCATGAAAATAGTGCCAAACCTTCTCTGTCAAACAGCTTGTTTTATTGTTACTATTTTGCTTTGAGCTTCTAGCAGGTGCTGCCAATCAGCCTGCAAGATTTATTGTCAGGAAGCGTTGTTACAACAAAGAAATAATCTACCAAACTATAATTTCCTTATGTTTTATGATAATTTTAGTTTTGAGTTTTGTTGGTGTGCAACTGTTGGGAGTCTCAGTTACGTGTTTCAGGACAAATAGCAACGTTAATTTGACTTAAAAACCCTTTGTTTTGTAAAAAGGCCTAAAACGTATCAGGCATTCAGACCTCATTAGTCGACCCGATTATTCATGTCTGTCTGACATTTGCACATCAGGTTCTCATGAGCATTTCAGCCGTCAGTTTACTCATAATTTCTTATCACACAGCTCATATTGCTTTCAGTTGACCGCACATGAATACTCATCAATTCAAAGGTTGCAGAGTTAGTTTCCTTGCAGTGTTAGCTCAACACTCAGATAACAGTGGGTTTGTGTGTTGATCCATGCAACAATTGGTCAGTATCAGATAATAATCAAAGTATTAAAGGATTTGTTTGTTCCATTTACCAAAGAAGCTTCTTGCCTTGATTAAAAATTATGTTTATACAAAAAGTAAAAAAAACACAAAAGGCAAGCGGCCAAGAAAAAAAAAGAACCTGAAGGCAAACAACAGAGTTTAATGTAACCTTATTTTACTATCAATAAGAAAAAACTCAAACTGATCAATGATTTTTAATCTGAATCTGTTTTAAATCATTGCTCAGATTATTACTCCTATACTTCAGACTTTGGTTTTGCTCGTTATGTCTCTTGTTCACTTTTAGAAGCACCTTAAAGATTGTTGAATGCATGGGTTCTCAAGCCATCTGGTTCTGGGGACCCCTTACAAGGGCGAAAAAAATCCAGGGACCCCCCTCATAAACTCCATGCTATTTTAGAAGACAATTTCTTGTCATTTCAACCCCTAAATGCCATGGAAATATGTATTTTTATTAAGTTTATTATGTTTGTTTTATCAGTTCAATGTTCTCCATGCATTTTTAAAAACAAAAACCAAATTAACATTTTAGTAAAAAATTTTGAGGACCCCAAGATATCTCTCGCAGACCGCTGGGGGTCCAGGGACCCCAGTTTGAGAACCTCTGCATGTCCAACAAAAAGATCTTCATGGAATCTTTCAGGTTTTACAGATTTTGCAAATTTACAAAAGAAATATCTTTAGGAAACCAGATCACTTTTAAACCACGGCGCCCTGGTCAGCTTTATTGTGACGTGGATTTTATTCCCTGTTCTCCCCTGGAGATGGCCCGGAGGACGTGGTCCTGGTTCAGACGTGCTCTGGGGGTTCGGCTGTGCTCCCCTGTCACAGCCCGAACGGGGAAGGCCTGGCCGTGGAAGGTGTAAGTCTGAAGAGGCGAAGGGAGCGAGGTGCCACGGAGGTGGTGTACGACTCAAGGCAGCGGCGGCACCACGGCGGTGCCGGGTTCCCCGCTGAGAGGGTCCAGCTGTCCTCTGCGCTGGGCCCCTCTGGCATCACCTACAATGTGACCCTGCAGCAGCTCCAACCGGAGGACAGTGCCCTCTACAGCTGCCGGCTGCTCCTGCGGGGCAGACCCGACAGCAGCACCCGTCTGGGGCGACGGGCGTTCTTTGTGTCTGTGCAAGGTGGGTCACACAGCAGCAGGAGGAAACCAAGATTTGACCAACTTTGTGTTTCCYTTGTCCCTTCTGTTCTGCGGCCAGTCCACAGCGGTCCGTCACAGCTGGCTTCTACTAACAAAACTGCCTATGAAGGGATGGTTCACTTCTAAAGGTTMCAAACAATTAATATCTTACCTGTTGTGGACAGCTCTCTGAATAATCCAAGTTCAGAGAAACTGAGTTTGAATCTGAGTTAATGTACGTTGCTGTAATTTTAAAACTGTGAATGGACATTTCAAGGAAAAATGCTTTGAATTCTTTAATTGTTGAATTATTTGGCCCCAGATAATATTGATCAGGATGCAAGAGTTTTAAAATATTACTTGCATAAACAGAAATGAGACAGAATAGCTTTTAATTTATCAGTCTAGTCAGAATTTTTTTTATTTCTCCAAACTGGGGTCACTCAAAAAGCTATCTACAACAGGTAAGATACTAATTCTTCATAAACTTTAATACTTTTGGCAGAGAAACGGACCTCCGCTCTCCTAAAAGTCCAAACAGAGAGAGTTGTGGGCAAAGATTATTATCGTAATCTTCATCAATATCTCTCCACTTTGTTTTCTGAAAGTCAAACCGCCCCATTTAGCTTATTGAGAAACTTTTCCACACATTATCAGCTCATCTGAAACGGTCTGAGGTTTATCAGTACCTTGTTATTAACATTGAGTCATTGTGCCGGTGCGCTTATCTTCCACTAACAGTCACCACATCCTGTTTCACTGTGTTTAAGTCTGAATATTTCTGTTCGGTCAACGGTTTGCAGAGTTCCTAATCTTCATATCTCACAGAGAAACCTAACTGCTGTCCCTTCAAAATAACAAAATATTCAAACTGCAGGCCTAAAAAGTAGGAAGGAAGTTTTGTGGTTTCTGCTTGACTTTGCTGTCGTACGCAGGCCATTGTTGTGCTTCTGTTTCAGCATCTTCTCCTGATCTTTGTTGTGCTTCTCTGCAGGCGACCCGTGCGGCTGCCACAACCACGACGCCCTGCTGTACGCCCTGTCGGGCGCCGTGGCCCTTCTCCTCGTGCTCCTGGTCGGAACCGCCGTAAAGCTCAAAGTGAGTTGTCTCTCCAGGATTCAGTATGCCACTCTGACACTGAGCACAAACAATCGGAGCAGAAAACTATGGCAAGCCGAAAGTGACACTAAACGGCCACTTTTACAATGCGTTAAACTAAAAAAAACACAGTTTTTTAAGTTTAATGCGTTTTGTAAAGTGGTGATTTGTGGCGCTTTGGGCTTTCCATAAATAACTGAGCAGATTACTAMGAAAACAGCACCTGCTCGCTCGGAGCGTGGCAGAAAGCTCCTCCCCAGCTTACCCACAAAACCCACACGGTTTCACATGTTCTGCTGCAACKTGTCAGCATGTTTTTCTTAAAATTTAGTGGGGACAGTTATTTACCATCTCTTATTTTAAAAAAATAAATTTTAAGTTGTGCTAAAACCCCGATGCTTTTGTTACACATCAAAAACAAGTTTAGCTTGTTAAACGTGAAGGGGTCAGGGTTGCATTGACAAATGTACGAGTAGAAAAAAAAAGAGACACGTTGATTTTTGACACAGGAAATCAAGATGTCTCAGCTTTGTTTGTTTCCTTCACTGATTTGTTTTCCGTCTCGCTGGGTGCCAGGTCGCAGCTCGCCGCCGTGACCCCTCGCAGCCCCAGCCGCCCATCTACGAGGAGATGGTGGGGGTGCAGTCTCCCAGCCAAAAACTGGCCTCGCTGCACTTCGAGGATGCCGTGTACAAAAACGGCCCGGGGAGGAAGAAGATCACTCCTGGGAACCATTACGAAAGCCCCAGCAGCGCTCTCTTCCCCCGGACCGAGTCTCAGAAATAAAAGTGTTTGACCTTTTCTGACCACCAATGTTAACAACCCGACTGCCTCACACTCACAGGACCCCCTTACTCTCTTCTTTTTTATTTTTGTCCAAAAATGTACATTTTGGTTGAGAAAACTATTTTTGTATTACTATCACATAATAGTATTATCGGCGTACAAAATCATACCTCAATATTAAGTTGAAATATACAAAATTATGCAAAAATATTAAGACGAATCAAATCTTTAGATGATTTCCAGCTGTGCAAAGTAACTGCATTAAAAAATGCTAAAATCTGTGGATTTTATTTTGATTTATTGTGCTTTCTGTCAAGTTTTGTGTAAAAATAAACTTAGATGATTTCAGATGATAAACACACAAGCAGACCCTGTTTCTTGGCACTATGAACAGCTCATTACGTTTTACTGTGAAAGCATCCAGCTGTGAGACGATTTGTGGTTTTAAGCTGATTCATTCTGAGAAAGATTTTTTCTTTATTACTTCTGCTTTGAGCAACCAGTTCCAGTTTTGATGGCAAAAATATCTAACAAGACGATCTACCGTCGTTGGTATTAAATTAATTCACTTTGATGCTCAGAAGAGAACATTTAGAGCCAAGTTGTCGTCGCTGCACAATGAAAACTGCCACAAACACAGCAGGTACAACAGCAGTAGAGAAAAAAAAATGTTTTCACACATTGAGCTTTAAAATATTTAACCATTACTGTATTTTCATTATGTTGACCAGTGGTGGGCACAGTTCCCCTAAAGCACTAACAGGGAAACTAATTTTCTGATTAGTGCTTTAGGGCATTTGCCACTTGCTAAATTTAGAAGCACTAACTGAGGTTTTTAAATGCTATTGACCAACATTGTTAACAGCTGAGGGTGAAATATGTCACATTTTGTTCATGTGTCAGTCTTCACTAGGTGACATTTTGACAATAAATGAACTCCAATAAGTTTTAAGAGAGCAACATGGCAATAAGTGACTCATGTCAACTGATTTTAGTGCTTTAGAATTAGCTTTTGCTAAATTTTTCAGTGCATTAGTGCTTTAGAATTAGCTTTTGCTAAATTTTTCAGTGCATTAGTGCTTTAGAATTAGCTTTTGCTAAATTTTTCAGTGCATTAGTGCTTTAGAGTTAGGGGACCTAAATATTTGAGTTAGTGTTTTAGTGTTAGTGGAACTAGTGCTGCCCACCACAGATGTTGACACTTTGTTTTTCCACTATCTCAATTTGCCTTTCAAGAACAAATCTTAAACAACCCATTAAAGGAGACACCAATCAGTAACAGACAAGAAAATTTGTAATTTATTAATATAGTCTGAAAGAAGCTCCATTATTCATGGAAACATTTTTTTCCAATGCATGTTTTTAACAATCACATTCTATGAGGAAAACAAAAAAAGAACATTAAAAGCCACAACTTTGCATTTCATTTACAGACATTTTTCCTTAATGTTTTTTTTCAAAGTGTAGAGAAAGGCAAAGGCAATACCCCCACTCCCTAACCCACCC